CATACAATCACATTAGTCATAACAAAAATATACGCTAACCTATCAGTACTTCATTTAAACCATTTTATTCAGTTACCTAGTGAAATATTTGCCGCTTGCAACCGGTATATAATTTAACAGAATCAAAATTATATTCGATTCTTTTATAAGAAACTGCTTAAAATTCAGAAATATATATCTAAATGTACATGTTATGTAAAAAATATCAACTGAAAGCCTTTTCCTTTTTCGTCGTTGGCTTTTTCTTGTTGCCCACCTAAAATTCCCTAAAAAGGGGCAAATTGACTCGAAAATGAATTGCTATTGTTTATTCTTTCGTTAAAAGAGTAATGTCTTGCCTAATTCACAATTCAGATATTTTTTTCTGACTTTTTAATGTGAAAATTTTTAACTCTAATGTAAAACTCAACTACCAAACTTTGGCCTCAAATTTTAGAAAATTGCACTATTTTTCGATTTTACGACCAGGCAAAAATTAAAGTTTAAACACTTCTCTATATGAAAATCATAATTTAGCCTGCAGGTAGAGAGGTCCATTAAAGTTGAAAATTTGTTGGCTTGGTCATTCCACTATCACTCTAATTTCCTGCTCCAAAATATTTTAATTCACCCATTAATAACGGACGTACTTTTAGATGTTGTAATTAACACATCAAACAAATACTATTATATACTAGTTAACAAAATAAACGCGGACACGATTATTTGTTTTTGTATTTCTTTTCCTGTTTAAGGATGTAGTCAGGTTAAATTAAAGAAATCTTGAATTTGAAATTGATACTATGAATCAGAAGAGCATTAATTAAGGAACAAAATAAGCTAAAAATATTGATAGGTTATGAAGCTTCTTTTTCGAGATATTTGATTTTTTTTAAATGGCGGGAAAAGGGTGACTCGGACTTTTACCTTATATTAAGCATTGGCATTATTTGGGTCTGAAATAGTAAGAAAAAAATCTATGGTTAAATGTTGGTACCTTTTATGAGCTATTGTATCTTCTATGAAAAGAAAGGTGGGTGATATGGGGCAAAATATTTTACCCAGTATAGAAGGAAAAAACTCAAGGAGTCCGAACATCTGACAAAAAATCCTAAACCTGACATGACTACATCCTTAATTAGAAACAGTTGTATTTTTCTATTTAGAAATACACCAAAACAGAGAATCTAAATATTTGTTATAAACGTTTTTACGTTTTACGTAACGTCACATTCAATGTATTGTAAATTTCGCCTGTTTATCGAATGGACCCTTGCGCAGACATATTTTTAAATCACATGAGGTCATCTTTATCAGCCATCGGGCATGTACGGGATGAACTTGAAGACGTGACCGCCATTGCATAAACGCACAGGAAATGCTTGAACAATTACAAATCGCTATTCATAAGGAAAGTAATAGTGTACTCCACTTTATCAATTAATAGACTAGATTGGTTGATGCATCGAAGATGTGAAGCTGTAGTTTTGTTAAGAGGAGCTCATACCCAATATCATCTAGATCCCACAAAATAACATTGCGTACTTGAACTTTTATCCGATCTTTTGTACATCTTCAGATTCTTTATATTTTTATTGTGTTTGCCATATTGTTGGTAATAACTTTTGTTATTATGATTTATTAATATTGTTGAAAACAAAGATTTCTAAAGTCGTGAATCGTTTCTTTGGTTGATTAGTATATATATTTTTTCACTGCAAAAATGTCAAACCTTGGTGAAGAAGTAAAACCTATCTGTTCATTTATTTTATGCAATGTACTCTGTTCAATGGATACCCGTCAGCTTTCGTTGGGTCTCCTTAATACCTTATGTGGCGTGGTCAAATACATCAAAGAGTTGATGGTCAATACTTAAAACAGTTGAATGATCTTTCATCTTGATTAACGATGACATTTTATACGGTACATGGGAAGCACTGTAGAGTTGCAATACTATTGAAAAGTTTATGAAAATAATCAGTAAACATAACAACAGCAATTAAAGCGCTGTTCCTTTGCTTTTTGTGTGTTTTTTTGCTATGTATGTACTGATTTTGTGTCATGGATTGATACCACATATCTTTTGTTTTTATTTTATAAAGCAAGGTTTGGTATAAAATAAACAACAGGTGTTAATAGAATGATTTCATGAGAAAGTTTACTGGTAATGTTTAGCATAGATATATAGCTATGCACATCTATAAGTTTTCTATAGAATATTAACTTTTATCTTACCTCCTATACATTTCTAGGAATATGATTGGTTAAAAGTAACCGAGCGAATTCAAGAATGTGTATTTTTCATATGGGGTTAGAAGGCGTGGTTTATTTCAATACACGGTTAGTATTGGTGTTACGTCCCTTTGTAAAAACAACACGGTGTTGAGGAAAAATCTGAAAGGTTTCAACAGACAAAGAAATTGATGATGAACAATTGAAATAAATTCATAAAACACATTTAAAGCTAACAAGTTGTTATTGTTGGCATTTGTTTTTGTATAGACCAATGGAAGTAGGTTCTTAATACTAAGTATTGAAGACTTGATCTCTTTGATATGCCACTAGTCTTAATACCACATGTTAAGATAGTCGGTAAGATAAATTCGTTACACAGTGTGCTAGTGACCTAATACGCTATATATGGAGTCAGTAAATTCCATATGGGGATTTGAGCTTCGCTCTCACCCCATATGGAATTTACTGACTCCATATATATCGTATTAGGTCACTAGCACACTATGTAACTAATAGCACACACGCACTTTATTCAAGAGATTGTATTTGTGATCACTCATTGTATATCATACATAATTAATGAATATTAAAGATGTGAACTTTAAACAGACTTATACTAATATAAACAGCAATAACTGTCCTTTCCTAGATTTTGATATTTCAGTTTTACATTGTTATTATTTTTATCGGTATAAATATTGATTGTGTTATCAATAAAATATAACCCAACTAAATATAATTGTTATACAAATATGTACATTCACGGTCCTACAATCTGTCGATACCTTTATCTTGGCATTCTACAAGGTCATCTCTTAACTGTTAATGACGTCTTTATACTAAATCCATTGGATGTTGCATGTGTACTGATTGATATTCTTATCTCAGATACATGATTTTTATTAGTTGCTATTGGCTGTGAACTAGCTTTCAGTAACTGCGAGTACTCTCAGACCTGTACTTTGTGTCTTTTGTGTTTTTGTTAGTATTTTGTGCTTGCTATAGATCTGATGAGTTAAGCCCTTTTCGACTGATTTTTATAGTTGTTATTATGCCGTACTGTTAATCCATTGTCCCAGTTTAGGGGAGGGTTTGGCGTCAGCAAACTTGTTTAACCCCACCACGTTCTGTATGTACCTATTCCAAGTAAGGCTATATATATTTCAGTGGTTGTCGTTTGTTGCGGTATATCATTTTTTTTTCGTTTATTGTTTTGTATATATACATCAGGCCGTTAGTTTTCTTATTTGAATTGTTTGAATTTTTTTCATTTTGTGGCCTTTTATAGCTTACTATGCGGTATGGTTTTTTTCTCATTGTTGAATGCCGTTCGGTTACCTTTAGTTGTTAACTTCTACGTCATTTGGTCTCTAGTGGTGAGTTATCTCATTGGCAATCATACCACATCTTCTTATTTTTATATTGACATTTAATAACTAGTGGATTAAGATGGAAAAATATTATAGCTTATTCACTATGTTGACGGGTTAATGTCTTATGAGACAAGACTAGATTATGAATTACACGATCCCGGACTCATAGTCCGACATGAACAATAAACAGTTAAAAGTATACCCATTATACTTGATCTAAACGGTAGAGATTGATTTAAAATTAAATTTTCTGAAAAAAATGTCTCCTAGTTTGATACGATATTCCACAGATTGACTTTACTTTTTCAAAATAAAGTTCTGCATATGAGGAAATTGCTTATTCAAAGGTTCTTCAAAGACAAGTTAAAATAATATTTTTGAAATTTTTTACGATCCAAATCGCTTGGCTGACCGCTACGAAAAAGCGGCTTTCACAGTTTGAATGACTTCGCTTCCACTTCTGAATTTACATCGATTTGCTGGGCATTAGCTACATATTGTTTACGTGTTGCATTCGTGATATTTCATTGTTTTATAAGTTCATGGGTTGTTTCAATCTACCAACTCGTCGCTCCTTCAAAACTGTTCGTATTTTCATTTCCAACTGTCACATGCAGTCATGTATTAGAGCTATAGATTCATCATTTAGTATTGTTTCAGAACAAAACCATGATAATGCCTTATCATCGTTATAAAGCCGTCATATTTAAAAGTAGCAACACGACAGGTGTCCCGAGTAGAACAGTAACTGCTTATCTAAATGTGTTTATAATGCCAGTAGCAGATATTATTTTCTTGTATTTGTCAAAACTTATTTCTTATTTGATCATTTATCAATAGACATCGATATTTCACATGAACCTATTGTGTTACAATTTTGAATTATCTTAAATGGTGTTATTAAATCCAATGTTCCATGACTGAGGAAGGATAACTGAGATAACATCTGTTATTTTGGACAACTTTAGTTATATCATCTGTTTATGTCAACTCCACTCCCGCAACAATGTTTCATTTCCTGAAAATGTTCTCAAAAGTTCATCGGTCACGGCATTGTTTTATTACTTTGGCTGCCCTGAACGTCATAAATCTATTCAATAAGCAGGAAGTTTTGATGAATAAGGAAACAATTTGTTGATACAAATCAAAAACGAACGGAAATTGATACGAATCAAATCATTCCTAATCCACACAATGATGGTAAGTTAAATCTGGTTTTTTTTCCTATAAACTATCTTATTCTTTTTATAAATTGAAAGGACTTTTGTTGTTTATTTGACAAGACATTACAATTCTAATTATCAACTGCATCAATAATTAATATGGCATGGACAAAAGTGACATTAGAAATTAATAATACACAAATTGTTATGTTAAAATATGATTATTATATCATTTCTTTCCTTAGATGCCACAGACTATTGTTTATCTGTTTTGTTTTGGGTTGTTATATTGTAAGTATTGTAATACTGTATGTGTTTAACTTAACTTGCTCGTCTTTGTACGATTGATTTTTCAAAATTTAAGAATAACAATTTAAAAAAAAAATAAAACTACAAAATATTAATCAAGCAAAATACTAAGAACAAATGAAAATTAAGTACTAAAAATGACAAACTTTCACAAAAGTAGCATTCAATCAACATTAGAAAATCCGAAAAATAAATAAGAAAAACTTGTAAAATATCACACCCCCTTTTTTTTTTATTTGAATCGATCTTAAAAAGACCAGTTCGCGTTTACATTTGCAACAGCTAGATAGATCTTATTCCGACTTAGTTGGACATAGTTTCGAATTGTCCGCAATTGATCTAATTATGCTAAACTATGGTAACGGCGTGGACGTTGTCTCTGATATGTTATCTGTTTGGACAAAAATGTCATTGTTGATGTTCGAACATACGTTTGTTTAATATATTATGAGGTACAGCAGGTGATAGTTTTAAATGTAGATATCTGAGGTAAAAACTATCGTATATCAATGGTACAATTAAAGTTTTAACAAATAATTACAATATTTACGGACGGAAATCTCATAACTTGAGATGAAAACAATCAAATAAAACTGGGAATAGTATCTCGTTGGTTTTTCCTTATAACATAATCAAATCCCTTGTCAACACGAGATTTAACGAGATTTGCGACGATTAAGAGAGAAAGATGTCAACGGCTGTGTGAATCTAGGAATATTTTTTATACGTTTTATTGGTAAGTATTAACATAAAAACAAAACATAATTTGTCATTCAGAATTACACATCAAAGCGAGATTTTCAGGTTCTGAAGTCACGGGTTATGGCGTTGTGAAATGGTAAGTAATTTATGGCCACCAAAGCCCAATTTTAGATTATTACCCCCTTTGCATGTTGGTACAATTCTGAAACAAAATATATGCTAATATGACGAAAATGAAACGACAAAGTTAAGATTTTGGGTTTTTTTTTTCTGTTGAAAGAAATCAATTTAATGACATTTCATCAAATAATACGAAATTAAATCGCATCATTTTACGTAGGTTTATGTACGAACTATTTTACAACACTTGTACTTGTTAACCTCGAAAAATCGAAATATATATAAAATTAAAGAAGAACGTGTGGTGTTTAACTGATCAAAGTTTTTTCTCTTACGAATACTGTAAGAATAAAGTAAATACACTGCGACATTTATTTGTGAGTTGACCATTCCAAATCTTAGACCCTATGCTACATGTATTAACAGTTGTCAGTTTACTTAGGTAAATATATTTAGAATATTGTAAAGTGCTCAAGGCTTAAATGATCTCTTAATTGGTTGTATTTAATAATGAGTTTCATTGTCAGTGCAATATTTATAATTAATGCATGACTTCCTTTTTAGGCATTTCATTTATGGATTAGTTTTAGTGATGTAAGGACTTTCTTATTATTTGGGAAATATTTTGAAAAAATGCGTTATACATATTAGGTAACACAACAGAACAAAGAAAATGTAGGAATTGTATATGTTTCCTGATTGTGAGTATGAATGTAAATCATGTAATATTTTAGTGGGGAATTATCCTTTTTTTAATTTACAGTTTAAATCAATTGATGCATTTAAACTAAATTTTATTTAACAGCCAATATTTTGGTCCGGCATTTTACATCAAATACTATTTCATTATGTCAGGGAAATATTCAAATAAAATGCCTTTAAAAGTTTTTGATATGTTCAAGACTTAAATCAAATTCTTGTTTCTTTTTTTTCTTTTTTTTATCGAAATATTGGAAATAACTATTCTTCCCAATCCAGTGATCAAACTTTTTGGAAAGCTAAAGATTAAGGTATTTTTTTTATTTTAAAGCTTGTTTTTTCTTTTTTTGCAAATGCTTTGATATAATAGTTTAATTATTTGGTAATTTGAAGTTATTAATATTTTCATATTAATATTCACAGTACCAATTTTACTGCACAGTAAACTTTAACTTATTTTGAGTTTTTTGTTTGTTTCACAATTCAACTTTTAGTCAGTTTCAATCACTGTGTGACAAATCCTTTCCATCTGATAAATGTGCTCCGGGGCAGTTGTAACTCATTTATAGAAACACTTTGTTTTGAACTGTAAATAGACCCACATAATAGGATAATCCCTTACTAAGAACATGATTTATATTCATTCTTCACAATTAAGAGGCATCAAATCCTACAATTTCATTGGTCGAGAGCACTTTGCTATATTCTAAGTATATGTAAGCGAATGATTATCCCTTTCTTCATGATTAAGTACGAGCGTTAGCGAGTACTTATCAAGATTCAAGATTCAAGATTCTTTATTTCTCAAACACCATATAGTTACAATGGTACAAAGAAGTTCATCAAAAGTTATAACATAACATAAACACACATGACAAGATGAGAAGAAAAAATAAAATAAAACAAAATAACACAGTAGTGGCGAAGAAGGAATTATCATTCTCTTACAAACTTAGAATATTGTAAAGTGCTCAAGGCTCAAATGATCTATTCAAGAATTAGTTTCAATTGTATGTGCAATGTTTATAATTGATGCATGACTTCCTTTTTGGGCATGTCATTTATAAAGTCGACTTGTCAGACAAATGGTGGTTTAGGTGTCTCGACAGAAATTGTTGCAAAATTTCATGTGATTACAACATAAACAACACATGAATATTATATACCGGGAAGTTTGTCTATCGGTCCAGTTATCTTTAGAGGTTGTCAGACATTAATACTGTCAGGAATTTTGATATGTCTGCGTTACTACAAAGAGAGGAATATTGTTGTGCACTAAAAATTACAAAGAGTTATCAGAAAGTTATGGCGACATGTTATATATAGTCCAATGCGCAAAAACATAAAAAAAATATGTTAGTATGTATACTTGACAATCCATCAGTAAAGTTAAATTCTACTAAGGAGACAAAGGAGAATTACTCACCAAGAATATTTTGATTATGGATTTTTATTTTGTTGTTTACTAAAATACTTTTGTCACTTGTTCTTAATTGTTCTTAATATCTAAGAAATGAAGAATATAAACTTACGATATTTCAAATGTTAGGCAAGAATATTTGTATTTGTTGTTAGTTTTTTAAAATGAACAATCAGAAGTCTTAGGAATGGTCTGTATTGGAGAACACCATACAAGTGTCTCAGAGAAATCACCATCCATCAAATTTAAAATATAACAAATAAAGCTGCAAATAAATTTAAAACAAAGATTAGAATGTATGTTTGTTATAAGGCAATTTTTAACAAACCTAATGAAGAAAATTTTTGATATGTCTGAAAATTAATTTTGTGCAATGTACATGGTTTGAAAATTTCTGTGCAAAAAGGGAGAAAAAGGTAAGTATCTAAAAAGATCTCACATGAATTAAATAAAAATTATAAACAATATCTGTTTACATGTTTTAGTTAAACTATTTGTCGGTTTATTATTATTAAGGTATTTGTTTTTGGTCAACTAAGTATGGTTTCTGCGTTTTAGTTCTTAATAGTAGAATATTAACTATTCCCCAAATTAGACACATGAGTGAAACTCGGATCCTGATATTTTTTATAAAAGTTGGTTGCATGATTGGTTTGCCCCATAGTAGAGAGGGGAAACACGCCAACCAATATTCAAATGGACAGAAGGAAATTTACAGTAATTGATAAAACAAATAAAAATGCATACATGCAAGTAGCATATGAAAAGTGTCTTGAAAGCACGAACAAGAGGCTCTCAAGAGCCGGAATCGCTCACCTGGTAAAATATATGCCATTTTGATATAATAAATCGATACGATTGTCGAGTGTCAAGTCCCGTCATTATATTATGTCCAATGATAAACATAATGAATTAAGGTATTGAAATGGCCATTACCCTATTCGAAATTATTTCCAAACTTGCATGTTTTCAGTTCTCGCCATCGTGCTCTTTGATTACTAGTAATCATTTATGTCTATTAATACCGTTTGTACAGGTAAATCTTGGTTTTATACCAGGGGCCTGGTTTCCGAAAGTATCGTGAGATATGCCATAAGATATATCTGTCAAAAGATGTGTCATAGATAATCTCCCTTCGGCGTCCGTCCGTTATACACGCCAAAAAGGTTTGCGTGTTTAATTCATGCTTATATGGCTTGTATCGCGCGGAAAATCATACACTGCAAATGACAGAGGTAGTTGTTGCCAGTTATCTCGATGGCCGTCATAGAACAACTCGTTATATTTACAAAGAATTTTCAAATAAAGTTAAGAGTTAGATTATATTTGTTATAAGACATATACATTTGAAATATGAGTGATCTTTAAGTGTTTCTGTCCTTAACGAATTGATCAGTCGCTTGAAAGCATGACCGATTACACTTTAAATTGTAATTTACAGGCAAATGTTTAAGACTTCTCCAGATAGATAAAATTTATGCAACAGTGGGATCTGTTGCAACGTTCAATTGTTCAAAAGAGGCTGTTACTGGAATCATTTGGGTGCGATTGGAAAATCGTGAACATAATATTCCTTTTACAATATACACAGACCGAAATATTATAAATTCTGACATCCAGAACCGGGACCGTATTCAGATCTTTGACAATAAAAACAGAGGAATATATCAGTTGAAAATATCGAATGTTTCAAAATATGACGATGGCAAATACAGATGCAGCTATCTACTGGATAACACAATTTATGAGTATGATGTAACATTAAAGATAACAATACTTAGTATGTTGATTATTTACCATCTTATCTAATAATTTCAAAATTATAAGATGATATTTCGTTGTATCTTTTTAAATCCAATTCCTAAAATGAGATCACAAATAATGTAAACAGAACTAAATGCATTAGATGCAAGCTACTCATATTTGAAGATATGAGCCGTCTACATCTGAATTACATAGAAGTAATAATTAATATTCTATTTTCTCTTGTTCTTAAAAGAGCAATTGGTTTTAATAAAACAGGAATAGTGTCATTTTCCAGATGCAGTGACACTTTTAGAAGATGTTTCATAGTTATGGATTTGGAATTATATCGTAATTGCGTTTATTTTTCTGACATCAAATTGATACATTATCACTGCTTTTGTATGGCAATATGAATCGCTGTACTATCTTGTCTTTTTCTGGTTTAAATGCCAAAACCTGAATTTTGTGCTGATAAATGATAACAATTCTATGTAAATTTACCAATTAAAGGTCAAAAGTTAATTTATCATAATAGTGTCTTTATTCGGATCACAAATTGGGAACATTTTATTTCCATTGGGCAACAAAGTTTAACAACAAGACACAATTGAACTATGTGATTTATTGAAAGACAAGTAACGCAGTTGCAAGGATGAGATGTAAGCGTGACTTGTCTCAAAGTGAACTTATTCATTGATGGTCGATAAAAACATAGCACAACCCACGCAGAAGTAATACAAACATATCACAGGCTATCGTGAATTTATTCCATTCTTTATAAAGAAAGAAAAAAAGGCATCCGTTAAGAATATGACTTATGTCATTTTGACCACCATTCAATATCTTTTTAAATTAAAATTTAACCTCTATAAAAAAAAAATTGCATCTGTCTGTTTAGAAGTTAAAATATTTTACAGGTCCTCCGTCCAATTTAAGATTTTTGAACAACGACAAAGGTTTTATATCCGGCATGGAAGGACATAACGTTACAATAAGCTGCTATGTTGACAGTGGAGTTCCACCAGAAACATTATATATGCAATCAACCAACGGATTATCTAAAGGAGGAGGATCTGGAAACATTAATCATTCTTTAGTTCTCAATAGGTCGATGAATGGCATCAGTTTCACTTGCAAAGCAAAAAGCAACCAACTGGTTGCTCCACTGGTTTCACACATACAACTGCTTATTAAATGTATGTACACATAGAAGAATATTTTTTGCACGAAGAAATGTATTTGACAATCAAGTAGAAATTAATTGTTTTTTTTCGGTGAATTTTTTCCTTCATATTTAGTTAAGAAACATTTTTTCATTTCTTATTTTTGAATGTAGTCTTTTAAAGAAAATTCGAATACAAACTATTGAATTAAGCCTTTCCAAAGAATATAAATAGTTGTACGCCCCTAACAACACGAACAACTCGTTGTAGATAATCCAACTGTACATATAGAAGAGGGCTCACAGCTAACTCTTAAAGAAGGAGATAATTTAGTTTTGACATGCAATTTCTCTTGTTACCCTGATCTACAAAGCCTAGCATGGAAACATATGATTTATATTATGGATGAAAGGAATATTATATACGGAAGTACAAGAAGGTTAGAGATATCCCAAGTGACGAAAAGCCACTCTGGTACATTTATTTGTAAGGTAATAAATGAGGTAGGGGCTGGATATGCTAAAATCAACATAACAGTTCAGTGTAAGTATATTATTAATGTCATTATGAATAAAAAGAGATGTAAAGGTTATACGTCAACGAGATAGCAACCTTGCAATACAGATAACCAACAGCCATCTAGAGGTCAACATATGATTTGTTATAATAGAATGGAGTTTTGAAAATTTGTCCCTGAATGCTCAGTATCGAAAAAGTTAGTATTCATTGTATTGATATAGTCATATTTAAGATATAAGCTTTAAATTCAAACGCAATTTGAAAATTTGGTATTTTTAACAAATCTATAATTTTCTAAGCTCGATATTCTCGATCCTTGTCATATATCTTGGGTTTATTCCTTGACCGTTTACCAAAAGGCTCTTTTATTTGTGTGTGAGCTAGCACTTTCAAAATCCAGATTACCATATATAAATTGTTGTTTAAAGTCCATTGGTGGCAAATATTTCATGCATGTTCAGGACGAGAACAAATTAACAATAGATATAAAATGTAGGTCCTGTAAAAAGGCTCGACCGGGATGAAGGGCGGAAAAGTTAGACTGCCACTGGAAAATGAGGGTTTATTGGATAAAGACAGAAATTGAGCCTTGCAACAGGTTACCTAAGGACCCCTTATGTTGCAAAAGTTCTTTATGTGCATAATGTGTGACACTCTCTCTATAAGAGGCATTCCCATTCTGACCGGACGTGGCTGCGAACTTATACATCCCGCACAACCAAACGGACGCCCCACTTTGGCAAGGGTATTTCTGTCGGTCGGAAGAAGACCAAGTTACCATATTTCTATTCCCCAGTCACCCTTGGAGTAAAATAAAATTTATAAGAAGATGTGGTATGATTGCCAAAGAAACAACTTTCTACCAAAATATCAATTGACGTAAAAGTGAGCACCTATAGGTCACCATACCGCCTTCAACAATGAACAAAACCCATACCGCATAGCAAGCTTTAAAAGGCAGCGACATGATAAATGAAAACTATTCAAACGAGGATACTAAAGGCCTGGTTTATGTACAAAACAATAAACGAAAAACTCTACACAATAAATTACGACAAAAGGGACGATTTCGTTCGCTATTGTTAATTTTCCTTTTTTGGACGGTGATGTTCCTTTGGCACCGTCTTACGGTGTTTATATATCACAACTCGTTCGCTATGCCCGTGTCTGTAGTGACGTTTTGGATTTCAATGAACGTAATCTATGTATTACTGGTGAATTATTAAGTCAAGGATTTCGTTACCAAAATTACTTAAAATCTTTACTTAATTCTTCCCTAGATACAAATATTTGGTTTGGAAGTTTCGCTATTCCTGTAGAAAATTTATTTCAAACGGGATAGCCCATCTTAATTTTTACGGAGATGTTATTTACCGAGCCCGGAAATTTAGATATGATCCGGATAAACATGTCGATCTTTTATATGCGACTGTCATACAAGTGAGAGGTTTAGCTAGCTATAAAACCAGATTTAATCCACAATTTTCTACATAAGGAAATGCCTGTACCAAGTCAGTTTTCCATTCGTTTGATTGTTTGCGCTTTTGATTTTGCCATTTGTTCAGGGATTTCCGTTCTGAATTGTCCTTGGAGTTCGGTAATTATGTTATTTCACTTTTTAGATATACTTATTCTAAAAGGTTACCAATTCAACTCTGTATTTAGATCTTTGACTATTGTTTTATTGGTATAGATATTGATTTTGTTATCAGTAAATTAAAATCAAACTAAATATTATTGTTATATTCATGTATAGAAATAAGAAGATGTGGTATGAGTGCCAATGAGACAACTCTCCATCCAAGTCACAATGTGTTAAAAGTAAACAATTATAGGTCAAAGTACGGCCTTCAACACGGAGCCTTGGCTCACACCGAACAGCAAGCAAGCTATAAAGGGCCCCAAAATGACTAGTGTAAAACAATTAAAACAGGAAAACCAACGGTCTAAGCTATATAAAAAACGAGAAACGAGAAACATTTATGAACCACATCAACAAATGACAACCACTGAACAACAGGTTCCTGACTTAGGACAGGTGCAAACAAATACAGCGGGTTTTGACTAGTTTGTTGGCGCCAAACCCTCCTCCTGACCTGGAACAGTGGTGTAACGGAATAACACATGAACAAACTATGCAAAATAATAAACGAAAAACAAATATGAGAAACAGCGCAAAACGATAACCACTCATTTACAGGCTCCTGACTTGGGACAGGCACATATAGAATGTGGCGGGGTTAAACGTTTTAATAGGCGCCAATCTTCACCCTAACCTGAAATAGTAGTGTAAAATTTCAACATAGAAAGACACACTATAAAATATGCACATTCATGGCTCTTACAATCTGTCGATACCTGTATCTTGGCATTGCACAAGGTTATGTTTTTCTCTAACTGTTAATGACGTCTTTCCACTAAATCCATTGGATGTTGGTTGTGTACTGATTGATATTTTAGTATTAGATGCATGCTTTTTTTCATAAGTTGTTATTGACTTTGAACTAGCAGTCAGTAACTGCGAGTACTCTTATGTCTGTTCTTGGTGTCTTTTTTATTGTTGGGATGTATAAGTACCCTGCAATGCCCGGTCTGTGTTTTTGTTAGATGTTGTTGTGCTTTGTATCGATCTGAAGAGTTAAGCCTTTTTCAACTGATTTTTAGTTTGTTCTTATGTTGTACTGTTACACCACTGTCCAAGGTTAGGGAGAGGGTTTGGCGCCAGCAAACTAGTTTAACCCCGCTACATTCTGTATGTGCCTGTCCAAAGTCAGGAGCCTGTAATTCAGTGGTTGTCGTTTGTTGCTGTATATCATATTTGTTTTTCGTTCATTGTTTTGTACATAAATCGGGACATTAGTTTTCTTGTTTGAATTGTTTTACATTGTCATTTCGGGGCCTTTTATAGCTGACTATACGGTATGGGTTTTGCTCATTGTTGAAGGCCGTACGGTGAACTATAGTTGTTAACTTATATGACAGTTGGTCTCTGGTGGAGAGTTATCTTATTGGCAATCATACCACATCTTCTTATTTTTATATATAAAAATTCGTAAGGGTTCCGCAGAGTGAATGTAATGTTTCCTGGCAGAAAAACTAAGTCCATTTATAAGTAAAATACGGAAAAACAGGATTTTTTTTTTTTGCAAAATTGACTTCTGGATACTATCTTATGATCATAAACAAGCTTCTGTCCAAATTTGGTAGAAATCCAGGATAGTTTAAGAAAGTTATTAAAATTTCAAAAAACTTTAACCACAGAGTGAATATTAGTGGACGCCGCAGACGACGGCGACGACGACGACGCCGACGGAATGTAGGATCGCTATGTCTCGCTTTTTCGACAAAAGTCGAAGGCTCGACAAAAATCAGTTGAAAAATGGTAGACTCGTCAAGCTTGTGTCCGTCTTTTCTTAGGATAGGACATTACAACACAATTTTCCTTATCCTTCTATTTGTAAGCACTACGTAACAACTCTGATTTACCGTGTCCGTCTAGTCATGAACTAGCATTTTAATAATCAGATTTACTATTCCTAGTCGTGACCTACCACAATACAAATCCGATATAACGTGACTAGTTGCGATCGGAGCTAGCACATTAAAAACCAGAATTACTATGTCCTTCTAGTCATGAGCTAGCACGTGGCAAATCTGATTTACCGTGTCGGTATTGTCGAGAGCTAGCACGTGAAAAAACTGATTCAAGGAATCAATATAGTCGTGAGCTAGCACGTTACATATCAAATTAACACTTTCCGTCTTCTTTTGAACTTGAACTTTGCTGTCCGAATTACCATAGCAGTCAACTCGTGAGCTATTACTTCAAAATTCGAGTTACAGTGTTAGTCTAATCGCTATCAAGTACATTCCAAATCAGATGTATCGTGTTGGTGTAGTCTTGAGCTAGCACGTTATCAATCCGATTAATGGTGCTAGTCTTGTCGTGAGCAAGTATATAACAAATCTGACCCAGCACGTAACAAATTTGATTTACCATGTCAGTGCAGTCTTTAGCCAGCACTTTATAAATCCGATTTACCATGTCAGTGCAGTCTTGAGAAACCACTTAACAAATTCGATTTACCATGTCAGTGCAGCCATGAGTCATCACTTAACAAATCTGATTTAGCATTTCAGTGCAGTCTTGAGCAAGCACTTTACAAATCTGATTTAGCATGCCAGTGCAGACTTGAACTAGCACGTGTCAATTCCGATTTACCGTGTCAGTGCTGTCTTGAGCAAGCACTTTACAAATCCGATTTAGCATTTTAGTATAGTCGTGAACTAGCACAATACTTATACAAGAGGTTTACCCCATCCGTCTAGTTTTGAGCTTGCACTTTGCAATCTGATTAACCATGTTTGTCTAATTGTGAGCTAGTTTATTCCAAATCAGATTTTGTCGTTTCAGTGTGGTCGTCAGCTAGTACGTTTAATATATGACATACCTTAACCCTAGTCCAGACCTCTCACAAGTTAAAAATCCGATTTACCGTGTCAGTATAGTCGTAAGCTAGTACAGTACAATTCTGACTTACCGTGTCCGTGAGGTAAGACGTTATAAATCCGACTCACCTTTCAGTGTAGTCGTGAACTAGCACGTTATAGTAAAGATTTTTCGTGAAACTGGTCGTGATCTTGCAAGTTACAGATCCGATTTACCATGTCAGTGTAGTCGTGAGCTAGAACGTTATATAAATTCGTCAGTGTAAAATCTGATTTTAAGAAATAAAAAGTCATTGCATAAAAATTAATATGATGTACCTTTATATTTTAGATCCACCATTAGTAAATATTAAAGTAACACAAATTGCAAATCATGTTAAGCTAGATTGCATTCCACAAGGGGTACCAGATATATATACTTTCGAACCATGGGAACATACTACGGCAGGTGGTCAACACATCAGATTTTTAATTGGATATCAAAATGGAACTTTGGTCTTAAATGAGACAAAATCCGAAAATACATTACAAGACACGGGAATTTATATTTGCTCAGTTAGAAATGGCATCAGCGATAGTAATGGCAGATTTAATCAAACAGGACATGTACCAGTCAATAGAAACGGTAAAATACGCTAAACTATGACAAAGTAGGCTATGGACACGACAAATACGATCACATTTATCGCGTTAAAGATGAGCATACACACACTTAGTATTTAGATGATAGATATCCTACAAGTTTATCCTTCGCCTCTCTTTTACATTTTTCTTAAATCAGTGTTAGTAACATTTTCGAGGAAAAGTATTGAATACTGTTGACGCTGTTGACGAAGTATATTGTAAACGGTTTTTATTCATATAGTTATAAGAGTATGATGAAAACGATTGGCCAAAATAAAGCGTTTTTGGTTTAAATGCTACATTTTATGATCAGTAACATTATATAAATATATATAAGAAATCAATGAAATGGTTTAAGTAATGGTTAAAAAAGGGTTAGTTAAAGTTTGACTCGAACTGACTATATTTTTTAGGATATCCAATCTTTGGAAATAAGAATCGAGCGTCACAATTTGGAACTTTTGGACACGCAACCACTTTAAACTTTGATGTGTACAGATTGGAGGCAGAGGATTTGATTATAAAAGATAAACTGAATCGAAAATGCGATTTTGGCAGTCAAATAAAGATAAAAGTAAACATATCTGTTGTATTTCATGGAACCGAAGTTGACGTTGAAGGTTTAAACATAAAAATAAAGACTCAACCATTAACAGGAGAAGATTTTGGAAATTATACAGTGACTGCTCTAAGTCGTTTTGGGAACAGCACTTATCATTTTACCTTGCAATCAGCAAGTAAGCCAATATTGGTCTTTTATATTTGTTAATTTTGAACTGAATATTGAATACTGAATTAATCAAAATTTTGTATCAGTAAAGCTTAGGTCGTGGATGATACTAAATTTTGTCAAAAACTATGATTAAAATGTTAATTTTAGGTCAATTAGGTTCGTTTATTTCAACATTTTATGACTTTTATTTGACACCATCACCAACATTTCTTTAATGAAGTGTTCAGATAATATTATCATATTCATTTATGTATAAAACTGACATTATTTCGAAATAATTGAAGAATTTCTTCATTTTTTGCAATTTAAGAGGCCAGACAACGGATCATTTCATACCTCCTCCTGGATAAAGTATTTAAAACTGACGAAAATAATGCACCTACTTTTTCAAAAGCAAAATCATCACATGTACTCTATCTTTTGACAATTCTATTTTGAAATAATACACATTAAACCGATTTAAATACAATTTGAACATAATAGGGAAACTTTCCAATGGGTACTACGTACAGCTTTCGAAAGATAATACTTTTATTGTGTTTCAATTTGAAGGTTATATTATCAACAAGGACGGTACTTCATAAAGTTATTTACATTAATTTCTTTAGCTTCGCCATTGAGTCCACACAACGTGACTTTGACAACAGCAGCTACAAAGATATGTGTAAGCTGGAGCAGAAACTTTGATGGCGGCTATCAACAAGAATTCTTTATACTATTGTTAACAACAGATCTGGTTCAATTGAAAAAATATGGACCTTTAAAAGACACAATGCAGAGACAACAATCGTTTACACTGAATTCGGTGGAAGCAGGAATTACATATTATATACGAATGTTCTCGAAAAATAAAATTGGTCATAGTAATTTGACTGAAGTTTCTAAAGTAACGACAATGGGTAAGACCTTTATTCCCGAATGTGTCCCCTGGTTTATTTTCCCTTACAGTTTTTTTTTTCTGCCATCTGTTTTTCTTGGCAATTAAAAGTTTTACAATCAAATGTCAATTGCGATGTCTAAGGTTAACAGTTTGCAAAAACAAAACAATAGAAATCATTCAAAACCCGTCTCCACTTTTGTCTGTTTTCTTTTATATTATCTTATTTTATAATCATAATAAGATATTTATAATTCTATAAAGAAAAATATGCGTTTTGGTACTGAATGATTAAAGAAAACTCACCAGGCTTATATGTTGGTAGGCAAAACGTGCATGTCGTGTACACAAGATTCATAAATGGTGATCGATTCAAAAACAGTAGGAAGGCCAAGTACAAAATTTGCCAACACTGAACACAGTTCATAGTTACTCTTTTTTATCATTGTTTACCGGTAATTATAAATCATATTATTTTCAAATTCTCGCTTTACATTCATTTAGACTCCATATTTGACAAAACACCGTTTCATATATTTGCTTTTATCGATTTATGTGTAAAAAGAACAATACGGGGTAAACACAAACTAACCTTCACGCCAATCCGTTGCCTTAGCTCATTAAAAATCACAGCGAGGCCTTCAAATGCAAAATTATTTGATACATTGAAGTACAAATTTAAAGAAAAACTCATTATCCTGATTTATTGAATGGCACTTTTAAAAAAAACCCATTAACATTGAATATATGTTTTCAAAGTATACTTTCTGGTGTTTGTGTGTGTGTATGGGGAGAATGGGATCAAACATATTGATTTATTGCTTACCTACTTTTATTCAATTTATATGAAGAGGTTCACCAATACCATAAAAAAAAATTGTTTTACAGACACCTTCAGGGTCCCTAGTGAATATGTTTTGACCTCTATGTCTGCAGTTTGTATACTGACTATTGTCGCCGTGGGAGTTTTTTACAAGATTTGTAAGTTGTTTTTATTCGAAATGAATGTTCATTTCCCGTGTACTTTATTCTGAGCTCTATTGGTTTTGGCTCTAGTATTTCATTATAAACTTAACGCCTATTACTATATATTTTGAAAGTGCTTCATTCACCAATATTTGTCTAAATATTGATGATGCTAAATACTCAGTTCTAAATTTATTCTTTGATTATATACTGGGAGTATTAAACCTGTATAAGAATACAATATGAAAAACCCGTCAATAGGACAAGTAAAAATGTTCATTTTAAGATTAACTATGAAGTATTGGTATGCCAGCCGTACTTTTCGTTTACATGAGACTCATCAATGGCTGTCGAATCAAACACCTAATCTTTTGACCCACATTGGCAAAGAAAGACGTAGAAGTCGCAATGCAATCTCGTACTTAATTTTGAGTACAGAAAAAAAAAGAAATCCTTTACTTTGATATGTATTTGCTAATGCAAAAAGTATTGCAACAATAATTATATCTTCAATCCGTCCCTCCTTATAAAGACGATTTGCAGAACTTTTCATTTTAGAATAAGAATATAAGTACTAAGGAACCTGTATTGAACATTAAAGAGAATAGAATAAAATAATGTTTATAGCTAATAACAGCGCCAAACATTGACTTAAATAATAACATTAATTACAATGATTCTTTATGATAATCAGAGATGTTCTTGAATGTTTAACAGTACATTTTGACACATATTTCAGGGAAAGCCAAACGGAATTCATATCATGAGTAAGTATTCGTCTGTATTAAGCCACATAATCAAAAACGATCGTAGAACATTTACCTTGGGCTTTTCCTACATTTGAGTTTCTAAAGTTAAAGCGTGATAAACAGTTTCGAACTCAGCAATGGGAAATTCGGCATATTTCTCCTACTGTGGAATTATATCAATGCTTATGATACTCTGATCCTGAAGAACCAGTTATTTTGATATCAAATTTGCAATGTTACATATTGCATACAGTCTTCAGTTTCGATTTAAATCATAAATGCATTGGTCTCTTTTATTCACAGGCTTTTCATTAAAATATCACACTTGCTGCTACATTATATTCAATTCATATGAAATAGAGTAATCATAAAGTCATTGAATGTATCTTAAATATACAAACTAGTAACTAGTTGGTCCTAAAAAAACGACGAACAAATAAATTTTACGCCATTTCACCGCTACGGCGTTACGTTGGTTTCGACTACAAGTATTTTTTTCTATAAAGACCTCAACTTTGAATGACGTACCGTAACAAAATTGGTTAATTCATAATTATTTTGCATGATGTAAAGGAACGTATTGATTTCAAGAACAATCTTGCATATCGGATTTGAAAAAGGGAAACAATACCAAATACCAAATTGAAGGAAACGAGGAACGAATAAATATCTGGCATGACACTACTACAAAGAAAACTGAAGATTGAGCAGTAAGAAACATCACCAAATAATGACATATAAACACGTTTAACCCCGACACATTCTTTATGTGCCTGTCCCAAGTCAGGAGCCTGTAGTTCAGTGGTTCATATCTGTCAGATTTGTTTTTCGTAAATTGTTTTGTTATAAGTTAGGCCGTTAGATTTCTAAATTGAATTATTTCATATTTTTCATGTCGTGGCCTTTTATAGCCGACTATACAGTATGGGTTTTTCTCATTGTTGAAGGCCGTACGGTTGTCTATAATTGCTTACACCCACTTCTTTTGAACTTTGGTGGATAGTTGTCTCATTGGCAATCATACCACATCTACTTATTTTTATATATTAAATATTTGTTTAAATTTTGTTAAATATTTCTTCAAATATACAAGGTTTCTAATCTTGTACGGCAGTTTCGTCTACAAAAGACTCATCAGTTACGTTCAAATCAAACAAAATTTAATACCAAATAAATACGAAGTTTAAAAGCATTGAGGACAAAAAATTCCGATAGTTTTGTTTCAAACAGCTAAGGCAATCTATTTCTGGGAAGAAAATCCTTAGTATTTTGAATACGCCATCGTAAAAAAACTTCGTCATTGCAAATATTCATCACTGGACTGACATTGTATCAATCGAACTTTATTATCTGCTTGTATAATGGTATTGATGTATTCCAAACGTTTAAAAACTTCTCTGTTGATAAATTTAGATTTTATAAATAAATTTCCAAACATATCACCTTATCAATGCAACCTTTGTATCCATTGCGCATGCACAAAGTCGTTTCAATCTGTTATTGATTTTGATTTCGATTCTAATTTATTTACATACATTTTCTTGCTAGAGACGATGACGCAGTGATTCAACCATTGGGAAATCAATGTAGGTACATTTTCATAAAGGAGTAGGCCCTGTAAGACCCCTTTTTGGCCCCAAAATATAAACTTTTAGCTATTTATTGGAAAGTAGAGTAATGTTGTTACACAAATATGGGCTCTTTTTGATAATACAATGCACATGCATTAGGTACTAGCATAGTTGATTCATGCAAAATTACTGAAATCTTCACAATTTTAGCATTTGTGCTAATTTTCAAACTGTTTTTGTCAAAAATAGAAATGGCCGCACTTGTGTTCAGTCTTAATATTCAAATATATGTTGTATTTGATGATAATACATAACATATATAAAGGTTAGGACTGAACATAAATGCGGCCACTTCCATTTTAGACAAAAACTATCTGAAAAGTTGTGTTTTGTGGCATATTTGAGAGATTCTTCATATTTAAGCTTGAATTTGAGCGTCTTTAATGACCAAACCAGTTCAAATCTTTTACATAAACTAATTGAATCGACTGAGTTAGACACGTAAGTGTTTAATAAATGTCAAAAATCTTTCATCAGATGTACTTCAAATTTTAGGCCAAAATTAGCCCTTACCGGACCTTCTACTTTGATGAATCAAATCTTTGTCATTTGAAAATTGATTGGAGTTCCTGTATTTTTCAATAGTTACAATCGACAAATTTGAACTGTATGCTGATGAGAGTAGCTAATGATAACAGCAAACGTACAAACTGTCGAAAATCTAAAATGCATTAATATACTTTAATCGATACTTTCGTATAATAACTCATCAAAGCTACCAGGATTATGATTTTGAAGGCAAGACGCGCGTTTCGTCTACTAAAGTATTATGAGTAACGAAAGGTCAAATCAAATACGAAGTTGAGGAGCACTGAAAACCAAATATTCCGAAAAGCCGTGTCAAATAAAGCTAAGACAATCTATTAACGTTTGGTTTACTGACATAGTAATGTACACACGATATCACTACATCTATATTTTCATAAAAAAGTATATTGAATGTTATTTTAGCATTCTTAAGTCGTTGCAATGGATAGCTTTTAACTTTAATATGATACAATTTTTAATATTTGAATTACAATTTATGTCTAGATCATGTTGATAATGTACTCTACCAATCACAAGAGGAAATTAATTTATCAGGAGGGGGAGGAGGAGATGGATATTCCAAGATTGACCGAAGTGACGCCATATTACCATATGGTGCTGTTGTTTCGTATTCAGCACAATGCTCAAGTAGTGATGACGGAGAGGACTATGAAAACGGTAATGTATATTTTTTTTACACAATCGTGATTCCATTATTTAGATCTTGTAAATATAGGTGATGAGATGGGTTGCGTGAATGAGACCACAATATAAGAAGACAATTAACATAGAAAAGACATATAAAGGCCATCATAGTTTGTAACGATTAAGAAGCATATACAATGTAGGTGTAACTTAAAATCACGAAGAGTTCAGAAAAGGTTTTAATAATTAAGACATTGTAATTAAAGACCTTATATCAACACAATTTTGTAAAGGACATAATAACAACGATATAAAAAAGATAACTGATGACGGGGTTGCTGACTTAAGCTTCCTCAGCCTTCATTTTGTATATACTGTATAAATAAGTGAGAATATATTAAGTTCAAGAATAAACGTGCGTTAAAAATCAGTCTAAACCTCGAAGTCTTCTACATTCAAGGCCGTTTTCTCAACAGTAAGTCGAATAGTAGACAATAATATCGTTACAAAATCTCAACATAAGGCTTCAATAGAAACTTCTTGTGCACTTTGAATACACTTACTCTTAATGGTTATGAATTTAACACTGTAGAAAAATCTTTCATTAATGTCTTTATCGGTACTTACATTGATTTTGGTATTGAAATATTCAAACATATTTAAATGTGTATTGCTATAGTTATGAACACTTATGGTCCTATATCCTGTCGGTACTCATATTTTGGCAATGCCCAAGTTAAGGTCGTGGTTTTCGCAGACTGTTTACAACGTCTTTAAACTAAATATGCTAGATGTGTACTGATTGTTATCTAGTGTCTGGGAGCACATTTATCAGTTGTTTTACATTTGAGCTAGCTTTAATTCTGTACGTGCCTGTGCCATGTAGCGAGCTTGTATATCAGTGGTTGTCATTGGTTGCTGTTTGTCATATTCATTTTCGTTTTTATTGTTTTATAATAAACAGCCCAGTCCGTTGGTTTTCTCGTTTGAATTGTTCGACATTTTGAGCCTTAGATATTACTAAACGGTAATTGTTTTGTTCATTGATGAACGTCGGACGGTAACATATAATTGATTACATGAATATCAATTGGTCTCTGTTGGAAAGTTGATAATACAAAATACAAAAATAAAATATGGGATTATTTCTGGTAACGGGGCATTAGAATTTCACCTTAGGTAAAGTTCATGAAAAGATTATCAGTCTTATGATCGTCTTGATGAGTATCTAGCAACCATATAATCTTTGAAGAACACGAACAACAGTCATTGCATAAACATGTGACAAATTTCCATCAATTTTCTAGAAAACGCGCAGACCTTTTATGCTTTAGGAAATACCATTTAACTATACTTGCCTAGAATCAAGTACACATGTGATTTCCTTTATCTTATCTTATACAGTCTTATTTAGGTTTTCGACCTATTTTTTTCCAAGAGTAAATGTTTTGCAAACTAAGGTAAAGATTTGTTACTTTTCTTTCATAAGTGAACAACATGAGTGTTCCAAGTTTAGTTTCCATATCACATTTATAAATTCAAATAGGTTGCATGTCAATCATATAATTTAAATATAAATAGAAGATGTGGTATGATTGCCAATGAGACAACTCTCCACAAAAGACCAAATGACACAGAAATTAACAACTATAGGTCACCGTACGGCCTTCAACAATGAGCAAAGCCCATACCGCATAGTCAGCTATAAAAGGCCCCGAAATGAAAAACGTAAAACAATTAAAACGGAATAATTTATGTACAAAATAATGAACGAGAAACAAATATGTAACACAGCAACAAACGACAACCACCGAATTACAGGTTCCTGACTTGAGACAGGCACATACCGAATGTGGCGGGGTTAAACTAGTTTGAAGGCGCCAACCCTCCCCTAACCTGGGACAGTGGTGTAACAGTACAAGATAAGAACAAACTATACAAATCAGTTGAAAAGGGCTTAACTATTCCGATGGATACAAATAGAAATACATCTAACAAAAACACAAAGTGAACGTGGACGGGTACTTGTACATCCCAACAACAAAAAGACACTAAGTACAGATCTGAGAGTACTCGCAGTTACTGACAGCTAGTTCAAATCCAAAAACAACTAATTAAAAAAAATCATGCATCTAAGACCAAATTATCAATCAGTACACATCCAACATTCAATGGATTTAGTGTAAAGACGTCATAAACAGTTAGAGAAAAACATGACCTTGTACATTGAACGCATGTGTTTAATGTTGAAAGCGTTGGAAATAGATTCTGTATTTTCGGAAGAAAGATCGTGCTTTTATTTACTGTAAGAATGTGTGTAGGGAACTAGTTACGCCATCGATGTTGAATATGATAAAATAAGTTTTCATTGTTCATATTTCTCCAAACAGTGACAGGCAAAAGTGGAAAGCTACTGAATGAAGGAGAACGCAATGCCATCTCAATAAAGGTATGAGTTTTTAATTGGCATACAGTATAAAGATTAATGATTGACATTCACACAATCAATTTATAAAATTTTTAATGTTCAAACATTATCGTCTAAAGCCAAATAAAACTGAAATCAGATATTTTCGTAGAGTAGAACAATTAGTACATATTAGAATCATTCCGGTGAAAAACTGTGTTATATTATGTCCGTACTTGAAGCTATGAAGATCAGTTTGTTATTTGTTTACCTGTTAACAAAACTAGAAGGAGGTGAACTCTTTCTTCTGTTTCTTTACACAATGGTAGAGCGATAAATTTTGTTTAAAGTTTTGGAGAAACGTCTCTTGATGTAGTAGAATTTAAAAGTAACATAAATGTGATGCGAATTTAACATGTCCACAATTTTTAGGCTTTTCCTTATTTTGTTTGAGAGTCATTCTGATAAGGGGATATTTACATACAAATGAACCTAATCAACATATTGTTTGGTTTGGTAAGTGTTCAAGCTTCTGTATTTCCTGTTCCTCTCTTTTCTATACAGTTACACAGTTACGAGCAATGTTGAAGTACGTGAAGTACAATCATGTATCAAACTGTGTTTGCCTGTTTAATCATCAATAACAAATAAAGAAACGTGGAATACATTAGACAAATAAATTTACACTACAGTTGAGTAGCAACATATAACGATACCAAATAACCAAATGAGTTAAAGTATTGTTTGATTTGATGTAAACAGTTTTCTTATCGATAAAACGTTTGTTACTTTTTTTTCAGGATGACCATGTTCTTAACTATTCTGAGGTTGTCTTCAGTCCTTGTGAAAGTTCAAGATTTGTGATTCATGGATCCAATAATAAAACTGTTTACGCTGATGTTGACCTGTCACTCAAAGCTGTAGCTTTACCATACACAGACGATGAGTCAAGTGATGACGCTAGTGATTTTGATGATGTCGTATCATGGGTTAAAACAAATGGTTAAAATTTAAATGCTGCAAAACTGCAATTATAATTTACAAATACACTTTTTATGTCTTTGATTATAGATCTTAAAGTTCCCAAGTGATATCTCATTGCAAATCAATTGCTTGTGATTTTTCATCTAGTCCACGCATGAAATATGTTTATTGATTGTTAAAAATTTTGACATCTTTTTAACATGTAGGCTTAGTCTTATACATTGATACTATAATAAAAAATCAAGAATCAAATGGCTGGACACCATCCTTGTTGTCAATTTTATTATTACCGGTCTGTCATTCTTGCGTTGACATTTTTCTTTTATTATGAATTTGGAATACTGTGAATTCATTTATTTTCGTGTGTTCCAATTTCTAATTGATTGAGAAAAAATGCTTCCTTTTGGGAACGTGGTTTTGGTCAATTCGGAATACAAGCATATAGGACATTTGTATTTGACTGAACACTTGAATTCTTGGTTCTCCTATACGCACGAAATTCACGAGGAGTAGAACCCAACTAAAAGTTATGAACCAACAGTAGTGTAATGGGTGATGCACTCATTGTCAGAGATGGTGATCTTATTGAGAAACCGGGTCTCAATGCGTTTCATGTGATTCCGTATATTTTCAGTACTATGCATGTGCTTTTTATACTGGATTTATGAGATATTCATTGAATATTTCAATCAATCGGCCTTACACATATAATTTAACTGCAAAGTGCTTGTTATGTTAATTGTATTAATATTGATATAAATTGAATACGATGTGTCAAGGAAGGGAAATGGATAAACAAGATTTAATATTATTCTACTGGAAGCTAAATATTTTTTAGAACGTCATTATTTTATATTTGTTGTGTCATCAATATATCAAACTACTGCAATTCAATCTTCGTAATTTTCTCTGATATGTCAGTTTAGAATGCAGCAATGAAGCCCATTCTAGATATTTTACAGTTTATTCTAATGATGCTTTCTTGTTACGCCAATATCCAGGTGTAATACTACCAAATCATAGTATATTACATACGATTTCATACGAAAAAGGGTCGAAAAACAATATTCCCTTGAATTTGTCAGTTGAAGGAAGTTAAAGGGATAGTTCGCAAAAAAATAAAAAAATTGATATTATGTTCATTAAGTATAAAAAGCCCAAATTCATAAATATTAACGTTTTATTCTACTAGATAAGATATCACCATCACTATCAATTCTCTACACTCGCCATTCTCTTTCTGTTAATCCATTCAAAATGACAACATTCACACCTGTAACAGCTAGTGTACGCTTGAGGCTAAGTTGCTCTCAGGTTAAAATCAAACAAATTGTTTTTCAAAATGCTCGTCTATTCGAGAAATAAACGATGCCTTTCCGAAATAATAGACAAATTATATCCACACAGACTTTGCGTTGAAATTGATGTCAAAATAATTAAGGTAAATAAAAACAAAAATATTTCCAGTTCAATATAAGTTAATAATTTGTGTTCAGTAAATATCTCCGGAAAACAATCATAACTATATATAAATAAAATAAGATCGAATATATATATATACCGAACCCATAAGATTTTTTATTTATATCAATGTAAAACGTTACACGTGTGTTCATTTTCTTTCATTCTTATTTTTTGGTTATAAGCTACGAGAAACGGTCATCTGCGCGCTTTAAATTACTAAAAAATTCGACAAGCGATTAAGACTTGAACTGATTTTAATTTCCTATCCAGCATTCAAAATCGTCACAACCCGATGACGTATGTCAACCAAAAACGTTACAAATATTCGATTTTCTCCGTTATTATAAGGAATATAAATTTAAAAGTTTGGGAATGTGTTTGTATATCATAATGAACATATTTAGATGATAAGTAAAAAATCGCAAATTTTTCCTTGTTGCAGAAAAAAAATTCTGAGGCATAAGCACAATTTTTTTTTATTGGTTTTTCTATAAAATATTTTGGAAACTTGAGGTTGCATGGTTACTAAGGCTTGTAAACAAGGAAAAAGGGAGTGAAAACAATGGTGGTATTACTCCTCCAATGTTAGAGAGGTTGAGCGCTCAAAACTTGTTTAGTATAAAGATAAGAATATGTGGTATGACTGCTAATGCGACAGCCATCCACCAGTGACCAGCTGAAGTAGATATTGCAACTATATCTCATCATATAGTAAGCTTTTAAAGGCCCCGACATGTAAAACTGAAAAACAATTCAAACGAGAAAACCAATAGCCTGATTTATGTTCAAAACGAAAAAAAAAAAAAACTTTGGTAGAAAGCAACCAACGCCAACCACTGAATTACACACTTTGGACAGGCACATGATAGTTAAACAACCCTCCCCTAAACATAGACAAGGAACGATGGCGTAATAGCATAACATAAAAACAAATGCTATGGCGTTTCAAGTTATGTTTACATATAATTCAGACTGCTGTTTTTTTTTTTTTATTTTTGAATTGTTTCACACTTTCTCATTTCGGAACAATTATTATATCTCACAGTTGATACGATATTCGAGGACTTGTATTTCCTATCATAATTTCCTTGATAGAGGATTGTTGCTCACAAGGAAGCTATTAAACCAAGAGTTACAAGTGGTGAAGTTAAAATCATCACTTCGTAAATTTTACGGACGCCATCAAGAGTTGGTTGACCGTTATAGAATATCCATTTCACAGATGTCAACGGATATGTTCTAATGGTCGTAATAACAATCCCGTACTCTTTTCACCACATGTGACCTACCGAATTAGACTTATCACCGAATTTGTACTAACACGAGCAACACGACGGGTGCCGCATTTGGAGCAGGATCTGCTTACGATTCAAGAGCACTTAAGATCATCCCCAATTTTTGGTAGGGTTCGTGTTGCTCAGTTTTTAGTTTTCTATATATGTTGTGTTTCATGTAGTGTTGTTTGTCTGTTGCCCCTTTTTTGTCAGTTTATTTTCTACTTATGAGTTTGTATGCCCATTTTGTATCTTTCGCCTCTCTTTTAATACACTTTACACTATGTTTTTTCCATTGTTAAAGAACCGTAAGTTACCTGTAACTGTTTACTACTTCGTCAAAACACAGAAGATAAAATTGTTCAGTTACACGTGTATGTACTGTTTTCTGTCTAATCTTACATATACAGAAATGCAAAGAAGGTGTTTTCCACCATTAAGCTTAAGGCGAACATTAAAAAGTAATTTTTAGGTACGTTTCTTGTTCGTTTGTCAAGAGGATACATTAATGTACATTAATGGAACCCAATCAAAAAAATGTGGATTGTTAATGGAAAGAACATCATCAATATATATGAATGTGAATTTAAATGATCTGGGTTCTTTGATCTTTGTGGTTTTGACAAGTGTCTGAAGGAACTCCGACTCATATGAAAATAAGAATAGGTCGGCGAGGAGAGGCGCACAGTTCGTTCCCATAGGAATGCCGACAATTTGTTGAAAAGTCTACCTCCAAATTCAACAAATACGTTGTCAACAAACCTTTTCAACAACTCTCGACACCGACTATTGACACCTACAGTTTACAGGAGAAATAGAGGGGTCGTATCAAGGATAATAATCATTCAGATATAACTTGCATGAAATATAATTCATACGTACTACATATTCGATTTGAAGTGTATTATTTTGAAAAAGAACGGATATTGAGCAAATAGCTATTGTGAATGTTCTGTGTTCATACAATACTTATTATATGTAAACATTTATTTATAAACCATTTCACTAATGGAAGACCGCACCGCTTGCCAATAGCCGTTAACTCGTTTTTGTAATGTTATTTTATGACTCTACATTTAACATCCCCACAGTAACAAAGCTACGGAAAGGACAGTATGACGGGACTATCTGTCAATCCGTAACACGTTCAAAACACACTTGTGGACATTGTAGAGGTTGTGTTTCTCAACAGATCTTCACTTTTATTGTTTTACATATTGAAGATAATTGACTGTTATAAGTTGTCTTCGTCCCGAATGAATCAGTTCTTGTCCCTTACATTTTCTCCGTTCCGGGGCATAACCTTTACGAGAAACACGTCTAGTGTCTTGTAGGAAGCTAGAACTGCCTACCCTGTCAGAGCACTTGCGTTCATCCCAGTTTTACGGAGTCAGTGTCATCATTTAACTTTGGTTTTCTATGAGAAACTCGCCCCTTTTCTCTTGTCCCCAGATTTGTTTTTGTTTCTTGATTATGGCTTTTTTTGATATACGCTTCGGTTTTCTACTCTTATCTAGTTTTACTACTGGTATTTTTTATTTCACCTCTGATCAAACATAGGGGGAGGTTTTGGATCAAATTATATTTAAAGTAAAACCCCCGCCGCAAATGTTATGCGCCTGTTCCAACCCCGGAATATGTTGGTCAATGGTACTATATTCTTTTCTCTGTAGAATGTCTAGTTTAGAAATATTATGCTGCGGCCATGGATTTGATCTCTTTTTTTTTTGTCGTGGCCGTTCAGAGGTCGCTGCTTGGTAATGATTCCCCGACAGTATTGAAGATCACCCGGTAACTCTGAATGTCTGTTTTATGTGTTGCATTTTGTGATTTTATGCATTATTCGTGTCGTGTCCATTGTCCGTGCCTGTCCTTTTCTCATTATTGGCAAATTATGTTTCGTGCTATTGGAATTAAAAACAAAATATAACCAAAATATGAAATAGGACATTCGCTTTATCTAAATGTTCTGTACAAATTGTCACTGAATACATATTTAAATTGAACATAGCATGAGTGAATTAAAAAAAAACCTACTGAGTATAAAGTACATTATGAAGGCATCCGAGGCCAAAAATAATGGACTTCGTATAGACATGTGCCGCCCTTGTCAATAGACATAAAACCATTGTCTGTTTAAATATTTACTACTTTTTTTCGTTTTGCTAGTTTAAAGTAGCTAGAATCTCATCTTCTAAAAATATTGAATAGAATATTAAAGATCTCCCTTTTATTCATTTATGAGGGTCTGGATAAATATCCCTCAATTCTGTATTCTCTTTTTATTTTTTAGCCATTTTTCTCTTTTCGTTATCTTTTTTGCCCATCATTCTCTATTCTTTATCTATTTTGCCTATTATTCTCTATTCTTTATAAATTAGCACCCCATTATTCTCTATTTTTTATTTTTTTTGCCTATTTTTCTCTGTTTTTTGTTTTTGTTTTTGCACTGATTCTGTAATATTGGCCCATTTATGTCATTCATACTCAATTCAAAAATAAAATTAAAGAATTTAAATCAGTTAAT